CTTGAACTCAGTGCCTAGGCACTAGCCCTGAGCTTTTTAAGCTCAAGGCTATTATACTACCACTTAAGCCACAGCTGCACTTCTTACATTTTGGTTATTGATTGTAGATAAGATTCTCATGGACTTTCCTGCCTGGGATAGTTTCAAACCATGATCCTCAGATCTCAGCTTCCTGAGTATCTAGGATTACAGGCATGACCTTCTGGGGCCCAGCCATCATCACCATTTTTAAAAGTACACTACAATAGTATCCACTATCTAGAACTTTTTGAAAACTAAAATTCTATACCCATTAAGCATTAGCTTTCCATATCTTTCTCTTTTCAGTCCCTGGAAGCCATAAAGCTACTAGAGATCTTTTTCTATGTATTTCTTAACTTTAGGTATCTTAAAAGTGGAATCACAAAATACTTGTCATTTAATGACTAGTTTAATCCACTTAGCCTAATGTCTTCAGGAATCATCCACATTGTAATGTGCCAATTTCTTTCCTTCCCTTTTTAAGCCTGGCTAATATGCCATTTTCTGTATAAACCATGTTTTGAATGCCCATTCATCCTTTGATGGATATTTGGTTTCCATCATTTGAATATTGTGAATAATGTTGCACTTAGGTTATGTACCTTGCAAGTTACTAAATTCTCAATAAGTGCAAAAAGACTTGCAAACATTTATAAGATAATCCGTTTTGTTGAGATGCTTACATATTTGTTGTGTAGATATGCCCTTATTTAGGAAACAGAGCCTACAGGGAGAGCTTGATGAAAATGCCCAGTGGCATTGTCACAGTTCACCTTTCAATTTATGATTTGTTGAAAACCCCTGTTTTCTAGAAAGTTAGTGAATTAAGATAAGTGTAAGCCAAGGACTTGTGGAGCAAGAAGATCACCATTTGTCTCTGCAAACGGATTCCTCACCTCTCAGTGAAGTTGTCTGTGAGCATTTTGACTTATCAGCAGACCTTGGCTCATATCTGTAATCAAAGGCCAATGGGAAGAAGCTAGGCCAAACAAATGGTATAGCTAAGAATGAGGGACAAAGAAGGGAAAAAATTGTATCACAAGCCAAGATGGCCAAGATGACTGAGAAACCATGGGTCCTGTAATAAAATCATATTTTGGTTAAAAATCAACTACTGTCAAACATTCAGGGTTCCTTTAGGTAGCTACGTATTCTTGTGAAAAAATAGTATGTGTGAAGCATCTAATAGCCTGACCATGGCTCCTGGCTCTAAGAAAGTAATAGTGACTTCTACATATGAACTACAGCCTCAAGCTACGTTCTAGGCTGGTTCCTTCTCAGCTGTTTTCACTCCTTTGCTGCTGCAGACTTTCTATTTTCCTCCTTGGATACCAGAGACTGGGGTTGAACCATGGTTAGAAGGCAGCTCTGGGAATCAGATGCTGAAAAGGTAGGCTGCTGGTCTGGAGGTAGCTCTCCAGCTTGTAGCAAGTGTTCTTGCTCCATGACACTTGTTGAGTATTTATTCCTGGCTTCTATCATAGGCATTACCCAGCCTTCCCTTCCCAGGCCTCATTGAGTTTTCAAAATCCTTCTTCTAATAGAAACTCCTAAGGCTCTGTTAAGAGCCCCAAACACTTTCCCTTAGTCTTTCCAGCTGGACTTGTATTGTTTTGTTCCTTGAAAGGTCAAGTTCTGTAGGGCTTAATCTGTTCTTGCTGGTGAAGCTCTAGCCAGCAAAGCAAATATGTCAGAACACCCTGGTCACAGTGTGGGTAGAGGACCAGGTGGATTGGCATATACTCTGTGGCTGGTCTGGCTTGATGGAAGTCTGGCTTGAGCCACAGATGGTGGCACCAACAGTCCTGTTTGTTCCTCAGCCCCTGGCAGAGCCTGAGTAGATTCGATTCCTGTCCCAAGGAACACAGATGCTTCCTCCCAAGTCAGCCTGTCCAAGCAACACTTCATGTTGGAAGAGCTCAGTCTGGTAAAAAGGAGAACTTGTCCCTGAGAGCCCTTTCTCATCTCCTGGTTACTCCATTACCTCCCTAATGGGCAGGATAACATGGTTGTCTAAGTGTAGTGTAATTGGCCATATAAACAAAGGGTTTGATAACTATTTAAGCATTTTGTGACACTTGATTTACTTTCATGTCCAGAGTTTCCAATAGAAGTGAAATTTAATTCCAATTCTGCAGTTGGGAAATGTTTGATCATCAGGGGCAGGTGGAATAGATGCAGCATGTGGCTAAACTAACAGCCCTCTAGACCACACACAAGTCATGCTGGTTGCTGTGATGGGACCTAGAGGCCTTTTTCTTGCCTCAATTGCCCCTTTTCTCTTTAAAACACTCCATCACATTCCACCAGCAGTTGTGAGGAGCACCTGCGATGGTTCTGTTACTGAGATTCTGGAAAGAAATTGGGTCATGCTTTTTTGTGTCAGCATCCATCCATAACCCTGAGATGACATGCATTGTTACAGAGGTGTTTTCTAGATTCAAAGAGAATGTTGAGTTGCATTTTGAGTTCTTAAGATGAAAAGGCATGGCCATGTTTGTCAAACAACTCACTAGGTATAAAGTTTCAGCCACATGAACAAGAAGCTTGCTTGGCACCTCTTCCCAAGTTTGGGTGAGGGATCTTGATATCAAGGTATCGGGGTCGGAGAGAGAGAGGGATCTTGATATCAAGGTATCGGGGTCGCGGAGAGAGAGAGAGAGAGAGAGAGAGAGAGAGAGAGAGAGAGAGAGAGAGAGAGAGAGAGAGAGCACAGTAGAGAAGTAAGCCAAACAAATTGACCACAAGAAAAGTCAACTATAAGATTTTCCTGGAAATAAAAGACATTTGTTTTTATTTGGCTTAGCAAGTAAGCCTTGCTTCCTTCTTGTGCTTTTCAGAGAGATATTTCTGCTTTGATTTCAGGGCATTAAAGGGAAAGAAGAAACTGTGTAGAGTACATGAAAGTGCCATACTGGAAGAGACCAAAATGATCAGGACTGAGCTGTCTAGGCCAGGATCTGTCTTCTGTATGAGATTTTCAGGTCCTTAACTTCAAGTGGAATTCACAGGAATGTCCCCTCTGTGCATCTGTGGTCTGACATCAAGTGATTTGTTCAGAATGAGGTGCAGTTAGAAGGTTGTTTTTATTAAAGCTCAAGTAAGCAGAGGTAAATGCAAGTGTGGTCAGGAGCAATGGCTGGCTCATTTCTCCCAATGGGCATGAGGCCAAAGCCAGCTGATTCACAGATTACCCTGCTGGTTCTCTTCACTACCACCAGAGGTCATTTCACTTTATCCAGACTACCACTGAGCAGAGTGCTGCAGTCAGGGGATCCAGCTGCATCCCCAGGTGCATGCTAATTAGACCCAAATCTATCCTTCAGTGCTTGCTGCCAGTTACCTGGAGGATACTGATATGTATCTGACTCCAGGATATAGAACTCTCCTCCATCCTGCTTCACATTCCTCTCTCTCCCCTTTACTCAGTGTTGACTGTGGATTCCAGGCTGAAATAGATGTTTTTTTCTCCTTCTCCTCTGTGTTTGCTGCCCTGGTTTGTCCTTCTTCTAAGTCCCTGGTGAAAGGGAAAGCTGTTGAAAGGGTAGAGTGATGGGGAGTGGGTGTTAACCATCTGATGGGGAAATGATTTGGACTGCCAGCACCTGGGGACTTTATTAGCTATGCTCCAGAGCCTGCTCTGACAATGTAATGGCATTTCACCCAAATTATAGTTGCCCTTGTCTCTAAGAAGTAGACAGCTAGGGAGCATCACTCTAACTGTGTTAAACAGAGTAAGATTTTAGAGGAAATGGAGATTTTGGAGGAAGGGATAGACAGAGGACAGTAGGAAACTTTTTCCCCTCTCTCTTCCTTCCACTCCACCCCCCAGTAAGAAACTCTTAACATCAGAAAGTTCAAAGGCATGACTAAGGGAGGAAAGTTCTAGATTTTGGTTGGGATTTAGTTATGTCTTTGTCTCATTAAGATTGATTGCACCCATTCCTGTTAGTATTCTAAGTAGAAATAATTGGGCTTCAGAAGCATAGGCAAGGAGCTAGTTGCTTCTTACCCAGTTTGGTGTGGTATAGATGGAAGTCTTGAATATAAAAGCTCTCAGAGAAGAAAGGCTATGAGTTGCCCTGAGTTACTTTAGTCTGTGGCCCAAATGTTTGATTAAAAACCTTTCTAGATGGTGATGCTAAGATGGTGATCAGATGAAGATGGTTCTAATAAGCTAACTGGTACTTAGGGTTATGGTTTTGAGGAAAAGGAAGATTTAGACCATCAGTTGATAATAGCTGGACAAGCATAATAAATGATCATGAATGCATGAATGTAATCGAAAGATTTGAGATTGAGGCTGAGACAAACATTCTTGGATGGCCAGAGCTATGGTCAGAGCAGCCCTGTCCAGGACTGAAAATGTGAATTTAAAACATAGGGGTGATACACAATGCCTCCCTTAAGATTATTATTTGGCTGGTCTTTTCCAGAATACCCTCCAGCTACCCAAATCTTCAGGCTAATATGTCTGTGGTAAGACTGGGAGACAGACCAATAGATAAAGGAATTTGGAACTGATTATAAGGAGTAAGTTAGAATTCATTTATTTTTGGTGTATGAAAAGACCTGATGTGAAGGCTTATGCTAGCTCTTCTTAATCTACACTGGGGATGAAATGGAGTTCCAAGAGTGACCTAGCTGTTGTTAAATGATAGAATGAGTTATCAAGAGATTTTGTTGAGATTTTCAAGGTAAGCTATATTTTTGCTTCATCAGGATGGCTCAGGTTTATCTTGCTAGGATGTTTTAATTCCTATGGCTCTAGTTGAAGGCTGGGTGGTGGAATTGATGTCTACTTGGGGTCCCTGTTCTAACCTCGAGGTTCCCTAAGCCCTTGCCTGCAGATATGCACCTGCTTTTAGAGGTCGCTGAAATGCCCTCATACCTATCTCCCTAGGCCTTATTTGCCAAGTTGTGGGCTACTAGAATGGTCTAATTAGACTCTCCCTCTTTGTTCTCTTTTCTTTTGCAGTATGAATTTAAAGCCAAGAACATCAAAAAGAAGAAAGTGAGCATTATGGTTTCTGTGGATGGAGTGAAAGTGATTCTGAAGAAGAAGAAAAAGGTAAGTGGCCCTGAACTAGAAACTATAGTGAAGAGGGAAACAGCAGAAGTAGGCATGGCATACCATTTCCCTCTAGTGCAGTCTCCAGGCAGAATTAACCTCTTATCTGGTGAGGTCTTCTTTTTTGACTAACAACAATGTTCACAGGCTGCACTGAAGACTAAGGAGGGGCCAGTTGCCTAGTGGGACAATTGGTCAGTCAGTCCTGGTGTTCCACAGGTGATAGCTAATCTCCCAGCATCCTCATGGTCAAAGGTTCTTTGCCATTTTGATAAAACTTTGCCTTTAAGCCTTTTCCTTCCTTTCATATTTTAAGACAGGAAATAAATATGTAGTTCAGGCTGTCCTTAAACTAAGTGTATTGTTTAATCTGACTTTGAACTTGTGATCCTTGTGATCTCCCTGCCTTCTCTTCTCCAAGTTGACTTTACAGACAGTCATGTGCCATCATACCTAGATTACCTATGAGTGTTGATGGTGGGGAATTCTTTCAATTTAAGTGAGGTATATTGAGTACCTGTAATCTGAAATCCACAATACCCCACAAATGGAAGCATTTTGGGTGTCAGAAAACACTCAACACTGGATGTTGGTGGCTCACTACTCAGGAGACTGAGATCTAAAGTATTGTTGTTTGAAGCCAGCCTGGACTGAAAAGTCCAGGAGACTCTGCCTTCAAAATAACCAACAAAAAGCAGTGTGGAAGTATGACTCAAGATACAATGTCAGCTGAGCAATCCAGCCAACGGGGTGTAAGACCCTGATTCAGAACCTTACTACTAACCCCTCCCCAAATAAAGGGCTTAATATATTTCATATTTTGGAACATTTGACATTTGCTTACTTGGTAAAGTCTATGAAAATATTCGCAGATCCAAAGCCTCTTTGAAATTTTAAACATCTGGTCTCAAGCATTTTGAATTAAGTCATAATTAACCTGTATTATGTTTCATGAGAGCATAGACAAAGGGGAGTCTTCTCACAATTTCCTGTCCTCTTTGGTACACAGCAATATTCAGCTCACTCTAGGTGCCCAGCAACTCCCGGTGTGCGTTATAATATATTAACAGTTGTTTTCCCCTCCCAAGGGGATATGTTTTCTGTCTCCTTATGTTGGTAGCCAGCAGACATCCTAAGCTATGGGGTATTTAAGAGTATTGTCCTTTGGGAGTTCCTGAGTAGGAGAATCTGTGAAATAAACTGCCTCTTAAATCCCTGGGCTTAAAATGATGAATTACCATCACTGTTAAGTTGAACAAGACCTATCCTCAGAAGCAAAAGGGAGCTAACCAAAAGCACCCTGAACTTGTGATTCAGGGATTTTGGCTTTGATCACATGCATCATATTGCTTTACTCAGCCCTTCACATGAGGAATGGAACTGCTGGTCAGCATCTTCTTGCACTGACTGATAACATAATTGCCATTTATGAGAAGGTGACACAATTCTTTAAACTCATTTGCCTCCATCCATCAGTCTTTGTGGATGTTTCTCTTGGCCAGTTATTTTTCTCACTGACCTTTTCCCCTCCTTTGCCAGTAGTTGAGCTGTTAGCTTTTTAAACCACAAAACACAGACTCTTAATTTTGGTGTTGTGAGTCGTAGGGTGCTACTCACATTGATAGAGCTCAAAACAGACAACAGACTGGTTGTTCATACTGACCTTGTCAGGTGGTAATCTTCCTGCAATCTGTTGGACAGGCCATGCCAGAGTTTCCCTACATGATTCTCTGACTTATCTACTTTCATTGCTGATTCTTAGATTCTTCCTACCACTCCAGTGCACCTAAACTTCTAACCAATGTGATCTTTGTTTATCTTCAGTTATTTTACGCTTCAGGCCCTACTATTCTGAGAACTATTTCATACCTCTTTTTTTATTGTATCTGATTTTTAAATTATCTTTAATTATACGAAGGACTTGCCATTTAACAAAGAGCTTATGAATACACTATATCTTGATCAATATCACTCCTTTCAACATTTATACTCATTTCTCTTATACCCACTCCTTCCCTCACTGTTTTTTAATTTTGTAGGATATACATTGGATTCTTGATTGCATTCTCCCCCACTTCTCTTCTTTATTCATCTGCCCTTTCCCCCTGGGCCTCACCTTATCCCTTCTGAGCACCCACTTCCTGGTATTTGAGTTTGCTGAAGTTTGATTTGGTTTCCTAAGGAATTATACTATTAGAGATCCCCCTTGAATCTGCAATATACAGTGAATATATTTGTATAAATTTGCATACCACCCAACATATTTACTTATGAGTTTGTACACTAAATCTAGTTTCCACATATGAAGGAAAACATGCATCCTTTGTCTCTCTGGGCCTGACTTACTTCACTTAACATAACTTGTTCCAGACTTTGTTTCTTTACAAATGCTACAATAGCATTCTTTCTAACAAAGAGTAAAATTTCATTGTGTATATGTACCACTTTTTCTTGATCCACACATCACATGATAGCCTAATATTCAGAATATGTAGAGAACTTAAAAAGAAATTCTCAAAAAACCCAACTCAATTAATAAATGGGCTAAATGAGAGTCTTCTCAGAAGAAAAAGTAAAAATGGTCAATAGACACATGAAGAAATGTTCAACATCTCTGGCATTAAAGGAAATGTGAATCAAAACAGCATTGAGATTCTACCTCACCTCAGTTAGAATGGTCATTATTAAAAAAACAAACAAACAAAAACAGATGCTTCTAAGGATGCAGCCAAAAGGGAACCCTAATACACTGTTGGTGGGGATATAAACTTGTTCATTCAGGAAAGCAGTATGGAGGTTCCTCAAAAAATTAAACATAGGGACTGGGAAGGTGGCTCAGTGGTAGAGTGCTTGCCTTGCATACATGAGACCCTGGGTTCGATTCCTCAGCATCACATAAGCAGAAAAAGCCATAAGTGGCACTGTGGCTTAAGTGGTAGAGCTCTAGCCTTGAACTGAAGAGCTGAGGGACAGCACCCAGGACCAGAGTTCAGGCCCTATGACCAACCAACCAACAAACAAAAAATTAAACATAGAACTACTCTATCACCCAGAAGTTCTACTCCTGGTCATTTCCCCAAAAGATTAAAACTAGGATACAGTAAAGCCACAAGCACACCATGTTCATTGCAGCACTATTCACCATAGCCAAGGTGAGGAATCAGCCCACGTGCTCCTCAAAAAAATGTGTTATATATTTATCTGTTACCATATTTATCTGATACTTTCTACTATGGAATTAATTCATGGGTTTGTCTTTCAAGTACAGTCTTATTTCCCATCTTCTTCATGGATCTTGTACCATATGTGATGCTATCCCCACTCCTCACATGGGAAGACAGGTTATATCACTTAGCACATAAGAGCAGCAGCATGCTGGGGTATTGCCTGGGAGAGAGGCCACCCTTTGCCTTTCCCCCAAGTAGAAGAAAGCTAAGCTTGAACAACATGTTTATGAGGATGTCTGAGGGACCTGTGACTCACTTTGAAACTCCACACTTGGCCATGGACAATGTTTGCTCTTCTGCTGCTCTAGAAAGGAACCGATCCAGAAGGTCTGTCCTATATCTGATTTTTTTTAGTGCCAGGTTTGGAAAGAGGAGTCTTTTCTCTTATTTCTTCAACCCACCACCCACGCCTGGTATCTTTCAGGACCGTGGCTCTGATTTGGATAATGCTTTTAATTATAGTGTACATAGTCTACCACCTCTGACAGATGAATGCATATTAACAGCAATCAGCCCTTTTGTCATCTTGTTCTCATGTGACAGCCCTTGAGTATCTACAATGTTCCCGCCACACTCACATACATACTCCTTCTCTGCTATAGAGTTGGGAAGGATAAGAGTAGATATGACACAGTATGAAAGTACCATTTCCTTTAAAGAAAAATACTATGTCCTCCAAGTGAGCAAATGCCACTGAAAGCCATCATGATTAAGCTAAGGTCTGAAGCTCTGACCAGGTAGCCATAGGCATGGCAATGACATAGCTTATGTTCAGCTATAGGTAGCAGGACCATGTGCAGTCTGACATCCCTACTAATAGTAACTGCTGGACCAGTTAGGAAAAATGTTGACTTCAGTATGCTGATTTTCACTAGGTCAGTGTGACACACTGAAAGGAATCTTGGATGTGATAAAAAGACCAGAGTTCTAAGTGTGGCTCCATCCTTTCTTGGCTATATGCTCTGAGCAATTCATTTTGCCTCTCAGAGCTTCAGCTATAAATGGAAGAGTTGAACTGGGTGATCACTTTAACTTTTCCATCTCAAATACTCTATATCAGTTCTGAAACTGTGTTTTTAATGGTTATGTACAAACACAGGCCAGCTGTATGAATTCAGATCTTTGAGAACACATTGGGTTATAGAGAAGGCAGGCTGAAGATGATGAGTGGTTCACTTTGTCTTCCAATCTCTTAGAAAAAGACCCTCTCAGATCACGCACTTCCCCAAGCAGCCATTAAGCCTTTTTTTCTCTCCTTAGATCACAACAGGCCAATGATGGAGTACTTCCCGTCTGAGAAGAGAAGTGTGTTTAAAAGTGCTTCTAGGCTGGGAAGGTGGCTCAGTGGTAGAGTGCTTGCCTTGCATGCATGAGGCCTTCGGTTCAATTCCTCAGCACCACATAAGCAGAAAAAGTGGGAAGTGGCACTGTGGCTCAAGTGGTAGCCTTGAGCTGAAGAGCTGAGGGACAGTGCTCAGACCCAGAGGCCCCACAACTGACAATAAATAAATAAAAATAAGTAAATAAGAGGCTTCTGCCTCTTAGTGAACTTTCTAACAAGAGAGGGCATGTTTTTGAGACCAATAATTTCCTGGATACCTGATAACACATAGGATGTTTTCAATAATTATTTACATTTTCAATAGTTATGTTTGTGTGATGCTGTCAAATCAGGAAGAAGTACTGAGCAGTTGAGGATAGTGAAATTATTCATTACTTTTGATTATCATATCCTTTTCCTGTTCTATCAATCTGCCAGTTTAAAAAAAAAGA